TCTCTCCAGATTACAGTTTAATATGTCTTAATTTCACTGGCTGTTCATACCTACCAAATATTTAGGGGGCTTTCTGACTGTCTTTTATTTGTTTTTGTGTGTTTGTGTGTTTGACTTATGGCAACCATTTCCAGGGTTTTCTAGGTAGAGAGTACTTAGAAGTGGCTTATCATTCTCTTTTTCTTGGAGGTTCCTGGGACTGTGCAGCTTGCCCAAGGTCACACAGGCTGGCTCTTCTCCCTGGAGCCACAGTGGGGAATCAAACTCCCAATCGAACTGTAAGCCAGATGCCTTTCTCACCAACCTATTCAGCCACTAATCAGTAAATGCTTGTCCGAAAAGGCAAGCTTTTTATGGGAAAGAAACAGCCAAAATCACAGTAGGGCAAAACCTTTATTGGTACCACTACCTTGTGGTTAAAAATACAAGACTTTGAGTATCCTCTCTTCCCCCAGACTCTTCTTCGGGTTGGCCATTGCAAATGAACAGCCTGATAAGTTGGCAGAATTTGAGCATTTCAATCGACAATGGAAATAGTAGTGCAAGTAAATCCCTAACCTCTGTTTGGAAGGGCATTCCATAGGATGGGAGCTGATAACGTTGAAGGCTGTATTAATGGTGGAATCCACGTAGACCCCAGGGACCACGTGGAACCACCAGCTTAGAAGACCATAGTGATTGTCTAGCAAAATAGGCCAGAAGGTATGTAAAGACTTGTGTAGCAGTATGAAAACATTGGGAATGATCCAATAGGAAATAGGCAGATTAAAGACAGTGAACATAGAACATATTATGTGCTAATACGGAGGGGCACTTGACAACAATGAGGCAGCCACAGTCTTCTGAGCTAGCTGCATCTGGCAGAGTGTTAAAGACAGTGAACATAGAACATATTATGTGCTAATACGGAGGGGCACTTGACAACAATGAGGCAGCCACAGTCTTCTGAGCTGCATCTGGCAGAGTTGTCTCAACTGGACACATAGAGGGAGCAACCAACCTTGAGAGCACCAACACTTGCACCATTGTGTTCAACAGTGGCCATTGCTGATGTGTCAGAATGGGGGATGAGATGACACTTGAAGGTGTCAAAATTAGCTTTTGAGTTTCTCAGCTCCTCCCTTCTTCACTTTAACCTTATACGTGATCCGACTTCCAGTGGACTATTATTGTTGCTATGGGAGTTGTTTGCCGGAATCAACACTGTCAAGCCGAAGATGATGCTGGGAGAATGCTTAGCAATCCCCACCACTTTTTCCTTTCCTTTTCTTTTGTATAATTTCTGGCAAAGATTAGAAACAGTACAAATAGACAGTGTTTCTTTCATGTTGAACTGACCAGGGCAGTCTCCTTGCAGTAGGAAAGGAAATGTGATTTCTGCAGTATAAACTAGTCATGATGAAGCACTGTTTGTAATTGGTTCAATCAGTAGTTTTCACACCAATTCATAATGGTAGCTTTATAGTATATATTGGGAAAGGTCAGTATCACGGTTAAAGAACCACCAACTCAAGTGGTCCATTTGGGCTGAGCCAAGCCACCAGTTTCCTGATTGGATTCCTGAGCTGCACAAAGGAAACTGATGCCTCCATTAATTAAACAGTACCTCGTCTGCTGCCTTTTTCTCCCCCTTTCCATGCAGCACAAAGGCTAGAATCTCTTCCCAGGACACCGACCCTTCTTCATATGGGATAGTTGGCCTGGTTCTGATGACATTGCTTTCTCCTCACCCTGAGAATGGCTCAGTGTCCTCGTCCCTGGAGCATCAGATACTAAAAAAAAAGAAAAGAAAAAAAGACCAGAGGCACATTAAACAGACTTCAAAAGCGCTTTGATCAGCATGACCGTACAGAATGGGAAAGCCCCAGTCATGCAGGTCTGGCCCACAGGCAGGGAGCATTCAGGAAGAGGGTGCTTTAATTCTTTCCACTGTGGCATAAGAAGGTTTGTTTGAAGACTCTGTAAGGTGTGTTTTTCTGCGCTGCAAGATACGGCCACATACATACATTATGATGCAGGTGGCAGGGAGGAGGGGAACAGAACCAGCCTTCTCTCCCTCTTTCTATTTGAAAATCCATGCTTAGATCCATTTCTCTGCCTGTTTACTGATAGCCAGCACCTCCTGTAAGAAAGGAAGAGATCAAAGGAATGTACTTCCTCAGGCCTTGGCATTCAGACATTTTGCAGCCCAGCTGTTTTGCTTTAAAAGGGCACAGAGCCCGGAGACAGATTTATCTTTCCTTCAAGGTCCCATGTTCTACTTTATCACACAGTCTGCTAAATGAAGGGGATTATAGAGTTCTTATTACTTGCATGTGTTGAAGAGCAGAGATTTATTGGGCAGCCCACTGGATGAAAATAAGGTATCACAAGCAAGCATTGAGGGAAGACTTTACTTTGGGCAGTATGAGTTGGCTGGACTATATTAAAACCTAGGTTCAATTTAAATACCAAACAAACAAAACACACATATCTGTTGAAAAGGACGAATGTGTCATGGTTAGAATTAGTACAGCCACCTATTACAGAGCATTGCTCTCAGTCCAGAGTATGTAGTTGAAAACACCAGGGATCTCATCCGCAATGAGATGAGTTTAACATATTAACACACTACCAAAGGATTTCATCAGTCACCCCCATGCTCAAAACCATCCGTCTGGAATGTGCAGAACCAAACCAAACAATGGAAAGTGGAGGTTTATGGCAAAATCACCTTTAATCCTGCCATGAACTTCAGCAGTGAGACCAAATTTAATCGCTCAGATTATGGGTCTCAGTCTGCAGTTCATAAAAAGTTCTAGCTTAAGTTACACGGATTGCAAATTAGAATTAAAATTAAAATTAATGATGGGAATTAATTTCTATTTCAGACTTCACAAGCATGTAATACTAAAACCCAGCATTTATGTATCTTATGCATAACAACAACAACAAAGAACAATGGAAACAGCATGCATACTGTGCCGATATTTAACAGATGCTTATTTTTTTTGGTTAAAAATTGTATCTGTTACATAATGCCAATCAGTGTTTTTACAATTTTGATTGACTATGCCTGGTATTTTGAAGAAGAAGACGAAGAAAGAATTCTGACTTATGACAACGCTTTCCAGGGTTTCCTAGATAGAGAGCACTGAGAAGCAGATTCTCATTACTGTACCTTCTTCTAGGTTTACTCTGGGACTGTGCAGCTTGCCCAAGGCTAAACAGCCTGGATCTGGAAGCCACAGGTCCCTATGGTAGACTTGAACTCCCAACCTCTAGCTCTATAACCCGATACCAATCTCACTGAGCTGTTGAAATCATCATCTTCATCTATCAAAGTTTTCAGCCAAAGTAACAAAATGAGTCAGATTCTGGGATTTTCCCTGGTTTGATGTCAATTTATAAATGGTAATGAGCACACAAGGGTATCCTGTGTAGACCATTTTGACAGCTGCCATTGGTGTTGTCAACATTCAGGCTGCCCTTTGCAATGCAGAGTATGCCATCCTTTTTCCTGTTAACAACACAGACATTATATTGGGCAGCAATATCAGGCCATTCCCTGGTGTTTTAAATCAGTGGTTCTTAACCTTGGGTTACTCAGGTGTTTTTGGACTGCAACTCCCAGAAGCCTTCACCACCAGTTGTGCTGGCTGGGGTTTCTGGGAGTTGCAGTTCAAAAACACCTGAGTAACCCAAGGTTAAGAACCACTGTTTTAAATCATGGACCACAGAAGCACAATATCCCATATTTCTAAACTAGAGGGTTTTTGGATAATTGAATTAAGGGCCAGGATGTGTCTCAACTTAGGCTCAGCTCAGTAACCTTTTGTCATCATCAGAACTGGGCCTTTCACAAATAAATAAGTAAATGCTCCCTGCAAACTTCTGTCATTAATCTAATTAAAATTTCTTTAGTAGTGCTGAGATAATCCTTTTAGCTGTTGGTCTTTTTAATCCATTGGGAGAACCCCTTGCTGATGTACTGCAAATCACTCTAAAATATACCAGTAAATTCTTATCTACTGCCTGCCTTCAGCTTTGAAAAGTTTGTCTGCCTGCCTGCTTACCCCTCTGTTTTATATCCCACTTTATCTACCCAAAGTGGTTTGCGTTTTTAAAAGAAATATTATTAAAAACACAGCAGATTACACCATCAAATAAAAACAGACTAAAATAAATAAAAACTAGTTTGAAGTCATTAAAAACCTATTTATACAATTTAAAAACAAAACAACAATGACAGAATTAGCCATTGTTCAGTGGCCAATATCTGTTTCAATTAAAAAATGTATTCACCTGCCAGTGGGAAGTTAAGAAAGGGGGGGCCAGCATGGTTTCCCTTAGTACGGAGTTTCATAGTATGGAAATAGCCAACAAAAAGGGACCCTCCCTCTTGTCCTCACCAAACCTCACATGATGAGAGTAGTGGGAGAGAGAAAAAGGCCAGTCTTGATCATCTGAAGATCTGGGCGAGCCCATACAGGGAAATCCTGTTTTTCAAAATCATGGGTCAGAGGTTATTGTGATAGTTTGCATCCAGTTCTTTTTTCCTGTTCCCTGTTACTATAAACCAAAGCAAAGCACGCAGGAAGCAAGCTATCCTGTCCACACTGATACTCCAGAATATAAGATGTTGCAGTGATCACATGCAGATTCTGGGCTGGGCAGGAAGATGCCACACCTTCTTTGTGTGTGTTTGTGTGTTATAGCTAACTTTGTTTAAAGAGGCTTTGTGGATTTCACTTCTGATATTTTCTCTGCAGATGAGCTTTGTGTTCCCTTGACACACACCCCCCCCCGGATTATCACTTTGAAGCCCATGCAAGGGCTTGCTTATTGGTTGTGCTTGTTTCTCCATCACCATGGACTTGTTTATCTCACCATATGGTTTTGCCTTTATCAGCAATTTCTTCAAGACATCTGTGCCCTGACCTGTATGTTTGTTCATCTCTCTCTCTCTTGTACTGAGCAGTATTGCCAACTGACTTATATTTTTGTTTTATCTCTTGCAGAACTGGGTTTCCCGAGGAAAGGATGCTGCCTGGTCTTTGGTTTCATGTACAAGGAGAAGTATCGGCGGATGACTGAAGGTGAGTGCGCCCTGTTTGCCTCCATACTTCCCACTGGCAAGATCCTTTCCAAATTCCTCCCACTGGGTCTTCTATTATTATTCTCATGATTTCCTTTTCTCCCCACTCTGTGCGGGTCTCTCCCTTCTGGCACCCAAAAGACACCTTTTGTCCTAACCAAGTTATGGCAGGTATCATGACAAGATCCCTTTTGCACACCCAGAAATAAAACCATCAGACTTGCAGCACCTACATACTTCATTATTAGCCTAACTGGGTGGGTGTGCTGGGAATTGGATCCCAACAATATCTGGATGGTCATATGTTCCCCAGCTTGGCAGGTCTGGAGTCAAGGGTCAGTGTGATGAAACCCCTTTTGAGATCTGTGTCCCACAATGGGATCATCAACAAGACCCCTTTGACTGCTGCTTCTTTTGCTGCTGTTACTCATTTGTTTGTTTGTTTGTTCGTTCCTTCCTTCCTTCCTTCTCTATATCTTCCTATGAATCAGAGGAAATGAGCAAGTAAATTGTACTGGAGGAAATTGTGGGGTGGGGGGAGTACACACTAACGGAAGTTTGCCCAATGTCTGAAAAGCAAGCTAATACAATCAGTGGCGATACTTACATTTATTATGCAGTCACTGAACCAGATTAGAACAACAGAACAACATAAGTAAAGTGGTATTTAAAATAAAGCACAGTTGGTTAAAATGATAATATCTTTTTTATGTGGCTTTGCAACAATAGTGGAGGGAAAAGGAAGCTGGCAATGGACTCTAGTAGAGCTTGTTTGTACGAGCAGGAAATACTCACTTTACTATTTTGCTAGTTTTCCAGTCTGTTTCCTCACATTAGGTCAAAGATGTCTCTGGCACTCTTCTTTCTGGAGACTACAGTAGAAAAAGACATGACGCAAAGATGGAACTATTTCATCTCCTTAGGGGCTCAGAAAATCTTATTATGGAGTACTCTGATCGTGCCTTTCCACTTTTGCAGAAAGAGGTACTTAAATTTATTCCTAGTGAAAGCATGACAACATTTAGGAATGATCAGGTTCTCCAGATATCTATCATGCATAGTAAAACTCAGAAGTTAATCCAAGCTGCGCACGGGGACAAGATCTTTGGGAATGTGAAAATCAGTATGGGAGATCTATATTCTTGATTTGAGATAATTTTTCAGTATTATAGTTTTGGGTACAGAGGAAGGCCTGCACCTTGGTAATAAAAGCTTCAGATAGGAGTGAGTAAAAAAGTATTTTTTGAAGGAAACCTACAGATGGGTCTGCATGCCAACCTTTCACCAATGCTAAAAAGGCTAAAACCTTATATTCTGTAAGAGTAAATGTAGCCTCTGCCTATTGGCTTGCAGTTGTTATCCATCTTGTCATTCCAAAATCCTAAAGGTTTGCAAGTACACTTTCAACAGGTGGATTAAATCCCTGAATCCAGCTTGGAATGCTGTTATAGATGGTTATACCAATTGGAAAAGAGTTTTCACCTTGATTACCTGCAAGCCAGCAGAGATAAACGTGCCCACTTTCATATTTTGAAATCAACATTCTTACTAAATTCTGTGCCACCTGTGCTGCAGATTCTGTCTAGGTAACCCAGACAGAATCTGCAGGTAACCCAGCTAGCTCAATATGCTGCTGATCAGGTCTCTACTTATTTAGCAGCCCATGTCCAAGAAAGGCCACGATCTTAGTTTCGCTGAAAGTAGCCCACAAAATCATGTAATAGCTGTTTAAGAAGAACATGAGAACAGCATCATCCTCTTGTCGCATAATAGAATCTTGGTTTCTGCCATCTTTGGTACATGAAATGTTGATGCTAAACAATTCCCAATCAGAGATACAGAACAAAACAGAAGCACTTAGATAAAAAGTAAGCAATTTAAACAAAAGTGTTAAAAAACTAAACAACATTTAGATAAAGGTAAAACCATGGAGAGGCTAAAGCACTTGTCTGTTAGACCCTACTGGTGGCATAAATAATAATAATTGCATGTTGTCAAATACATTATGAACTATGAGGACCCTTTCCAGGGTTTCCTAGGTATAGAATTCTCAGGTATAGAATAGGATGAATGATTTACTATTCATTTGGGGCTCTCCGGGACCATATAGCTAGAAATACATGGTGGGGAATTGATCTCCCAGTCTCTGATTTTGTCTTGTACCCAAGCTGGATTTGTGGATTTTTCCTCCAGGCCAATCTTCCTCCAGGTCTATGAAGGCTACAGATTATCCATTTCCACAGAAGTGCAACATTGTCTCTCCCCGAGTCTTGAAACTGATGTTTCATGTTGTTGATACTGCTTATATTTCAAGTCATTTATTTGGTTCTAAGATGAAGTAGGTTAGGACATCTCTCCTTGATGGTAACATCCCCTTAATTCCAGAAAATATATGTCCAGTGTCTTTTTCCAAATGCAGATGAAGGTTTCAGCTCAGGGAGGGGAAAAATCCATGCTTCACTTTAACACTGAAAATAAAAAGCAACCAAGATAAGAACCCGGATGAAGGCAAACATCCTTTGCAGGCATGTCAATGATTCCATGGGGCCACATGAACTCCTTCCTAAGAAATACAAACATACATTATGGTTAATTCCCTCAACTTGCCAAACTTCCTATAAGCAACCATTGATTAACTGTTGCAATAGCTGTGCATAATTGTGAACAGAAATCATTAAACTATTAAAAGCCTTTGCAGTAGGAAGCAGTTAGCATCCGAGCAGCTTGCCGTTTTGACACTTGACTTTTTAGGAAGGATGAAATTGCATGGAAAGAGCCTCTAGTGCTTCCATATTTAAGGTGATGTGTTGCAACAAAAGGAATCAGCATTACTGATTTCCTGATTCTTAGTTCTTCACCACAGGTGTTTTATAGGCTTCCTCCTTGATTTCTGTTGTTGTAATGTATTCAGCTATTGGTGTATTTCATTTAAAGCATGTGTTCAAATCTGTTTGTGTATTTCATTTAAAGCATGTGTCCTCCATATAAAAGATCTCCCCAAGAATTACAAATATAGGCATCACTAGGACAGTTCTGTTCTGTTCTGAAACCTTTAATGGCATTTACAAACTTCAACAACACAAGCAAAATAGGAGAAGTAAAATTACACAAATTTCACAAATTAGGAGCGAGAAGCAGGGGACAATTGCAGAATTGCAGATAAGAAACCTACAACAGCAATGGTCAGGGCATTACATTCATCACTCATGAAAACAGAAATAATTGACTCAGAAGAATTGGAAAAGGGCATTGAAACAGTACCTGAACCAGGGTGTCAGGAGTCTCTAAGCAAAAAAAAAAGTCTTTTTTCACAAGGAATATTAAGAAATTGACCGGCATGGGTGGAAAAAATATTAAAACGGGCTAACATAAAAGCTCTTCTTCGATGTGGGTTTATTAGGGAATGGGAATATTTGGGAGAATGAACCTGAGATGGAGTATTAGGGAATGGGAATATTTGGGAGAATGATCCTGAGATGGAGAAAAATCCAACAGAAAGAGGGGAACATACAGGATTAAGGTTATTGCATAGGTAATTGAATTTGGCATGACAGAACTTGTCCTTGATTATGTAATAAGCCACTAGGACAGTTGCTAGAGAGGCAGGAAAGGGCTTCTATGGGGCACAAGTTTAACAAACCAGTATTATGTTTTCTTGAATGTTCAAAAGCAAAGGAGTTGTTACAAAAGTAGAAGTTGGGGGGAAAAAGGTAGTATTCCTCATTTTGTCTAGAAGCTCCGTGTTCTATGGTTGATGCTCATTTATTGTAGAATTGATTTTCCCAGGTCAAAACCTGTAAGCCTTAACTTAACTAAGATAATGCCTGGGACCAACCATCCCCAGTCAATTCTTTGGCATATCCCAGACAAAAAGCAATTAACATTGACCTACCTTTATTTTGCATATCCTGTGTCTTTGATTCTTTTGTAAGTACTATTTTCCCAGGAAACTGGCAGCCATTTTGTTTATGGAGTTGTCATGTTTATGACTCGTGCCAATTGTGTTCTCCCTGAGGGAGATTTTCCATTAGCAAGACATACTTTCCCTCTGTGTTATTCAGGCTTCACATAAAACCTCTTTCAGCATTCAAAATGCCTGCATGAAAATAATAAGATTTAAAATCTTGTGCCTACTCTAAAGTATTTGGTTGTTGTTTACTAAGCAGGCCTACAAATCTATGATTTTTGCCATTAAAATAGGATACAAAAATCTTTTGTTCTCATCAGTGCCTGTGCTATTTCATGTATGGATTGACACAGTCCCCAAAATGCAGTGTGCTTAATGGGAATTTCATATAATTACCAACAGAAGGTTGTCTAAGAAGAAGAAACTAAACAGAAGTCTGGTATTTCTCAACAGAGCATGCGGTTCCTTCAGTAAACAAGCCCAATATTTCTTTTTGGCCTACAGAAATCACAACTGTGTCAAGATATTTACCTAAAAGGGAGAAGGGATGTTAATTTGATCTTAGATAACATTTGATATATACAGTACTGTGCAATACAAGGAACTGCCCTCAATGGCAAAGTTGAATTTTTACCCATGATGCAGAGTTCGCCCACTTCTGCCTCACTGTCTGCACTTACTTGATGAATCTCAAATATGTGAAAATGTAGACACATCCAACAGTGCATGAAATTGCTGCAAAAACAAAGCAAGCCAAGGCCGGATTGTGCTGCTTGGCCTCACTTACGTCATCCATTCCTTTTTGAAAGTTCTTACCAGTTTCTTAGCTTATGTGTTGCCTGTCAAAGCCGGCTGGAAGTTGAAGTGATCTTTATTTCTGACACTGGAGAGCAGAATATGACGAGTGTTATTCTAATTGCATTTGGTCATTATTGCTTCTGTCCATTTGAAAACCTTGTGATTGTGTTTCCACATAACGAACAGAGTCTAGAGAATGGGGCAGCACAATTTCGGCAGAAAGAGATTTTCTGAACCTCCTCATGTCCCAATTAAGGATCAGCATTACTTCTTTATGTCTGGATCACTATGTAGCTCAGGGCTGCAAGATACGAGGAGGAAATTAAACCGGTGACAGTTGTAGTCTGAGCAGAGGAGCGGTAGAGCTGTTGCATGATGATAGCCTTGAAATAAAGAAGCGTTAGACTTAATCCTACACCATCTGTCTTCATTCTGCTAATAACCCACTCAATCAGACACCACAGACTGTTGGTTAGCTTTCAGAAACAGATACATAATCACTGGGAACATGCCATTTCTCCTGACTGATCTTATAAAGACATAATATGCCTGATGGTAACTATTGGTTTGACCTGGTGATATGATTTGACCAGAGCGTCGAAGTCTGTAGTCATGAATAATGTTGTTTCCAGTAATTAGTTACTTTTTGGGTGATTAACACTTTAGTTACTTTTTGGATGCAACAAGCAACACTTGAGTTACTTAGGTGTATTAAATAATACAGTACCTACTTCCTTTCAAATGTTACATTTAACTGGGATATGAGAAATTTTAAAGGCATTTTCACAGGAACCGTCCAAACTCTGTGCCATTTTAAAATTAATCCTGGCAAATAGAAGGGGAAGATATGGAGGCAGTGACAGATTTTTACCTTCTTGGGCTCCATGATCACTGCAGATGATGACAGCAGCCACAAAATTAAAAGACGGCTGCTTCTTGGCAGGAAAGTGATGACAAACCTAGACAGCATCTTAAAAAGCAGAGACATCGCCTTGCTGACAAAGTTCTGTATAGTTAGAGCTATGGTTTTTCCAGTAGCGATGTATGGATGTGAGAGCTGGACCATAAAGAAGGCTGACCCCCAAAGAACTGATGTTTTTGAATTGTGGTGCTGGAGGAGACTCTTGAGAATCCCCTGGACTGCAAGGAGAACAAACCTATCCATTTTGCAGGAAATCAACCCTGAGTGTTCACTGGAAGGACAGATCCTGAAGCTGGCGCTCCAATACTTTGGCCATCTCATGAGAAGAGAAGACTCCCTGGAGAAGACCCTGATGTTGGGAAAGTTTGAAGGCAAAAGGAGAAGGGGACAATAGAGGACGAGATGGATGGACACTGTCATTGAAGCTACCAACATGAATTTGACCAATCTCTGGGAGGTAGTGGAAGACAGGAGGCCTGGCGTGCTCTGGTCCATGGGGTTACGAAGAGTCGGACACGACTTAATGACTAAACAACAACAAAAATTAATCATAAGTGGAAAAGATAGTATTTTGTGGTTTGTCTTTTTGAAAAACACATTGTAAGGAGCACCATCAGAGCTGATCACTGTAGGGAACCGCAATATATTACTCTGACTTTTTCTGGTCTGTTGATAAGGCAAACACAGTAACACACAACAGCTCCAATTATTTGAATGACTGGAGCAATGATAATGAGGGTGGCAACCTGACTGCAGAGATGTAATGATTACTGCAATCAGTTCTTTTTAAACTGTAATGTTGCATGCTCTGTGGCTTATCTTAGATTGAACTTACACAACATGGATAGCCTACTAAGCCAAAACAGAAAGGCCACCAACCTACTTACGGAGGCTCACAAGAGACAGAAGACACATTGTGTTTTTGCTGCATGCCTCAATAGTAAGAAAATAACAGATAATTTCAAAGACACACAAACATATGTTCCAGTGAAATACAGCCTCAGACTATATATGGACATGACTACCTTCTTCTGAAGCCAGGACTGATGGTAGCCCAACACCTCTTCTCTCCGTTCTCCTCTTCTCCCCTCTTCTCTTCCTTTCTGGATAATACTTAAGCCCCTCAAAGTTGACTAAAGAATGAGAAGTGTAGTGTGTCAACTTGGAACAGATTGGTCTCTAAGATATACAGCGATGAAGAGCAGTACAAGACAATACAAATATAGGCGTTGGATGTCTCACATTATCTTAAATCACCCTCTTAATCAAACTCAAAGCATGCCACCAAATATCTGTGCATGGGTCAAGCCCAAGGCTATGTGTGCGTATTCTTTTTTTCTGTTCCAATGCCATAGTCTAAAGAGGTTCTGGTTCCTCTGTTTAGCACACCCTGCTGCATCTGACTTTTTGCCAGTTCTGTATTGACAAGTTAGCAATTGCACTGTAGCAATTATGGCAGGATTTTGGCAGCTGCTCATAAAATGACTAACAAGAGCTATTAAGCATAAGAAGGTGTCAACCTAATCCTTCGCCACCTGTTCAGCAAGCCGGTGGATGATAGTAGGTACTCAAGACTTCTTTCCCCTACATAGAAGAGCCGGATTAGAAGCAATCCACTGTTTCCCTTCTTCGTTATTATTCCTTTACCTCCCCGTTTGTTTGTTTTTTGCTGTTGTCTTCTACAGTTGTACATTTATGTTTTAAAAATATCACGCATGGCCTTGCTGAATCGGATGAATAATCTGTTTCCAGTGCACACAGTCCCCAAGGACAGAGCACTTATGCCATCACAAAGGCATTTAGAGGTTTAGGTGTGAGGGACCCATAGGGCCATGATTGAAGTCTCCTTCCTTGCTGGAAGATCAGAGGTGTAGAAGGGACAAAGTGTTGCTCCCTCCCTAGCAGTCCCTTCATTATTTGGCTTTTCTGATCATCTACATAGGCCGTGGTAGGCGCAGTGTGATGTAACAGACAGACTGCCTCAGAAGGATTCAGGAGACTAGAGTTAAAATCCCCACTGAGCCAATTCATTGGAGGAAGGAAATGGTGGTAATGGAAATCTACTCCTTAAACATCCCTCATACCTCAAAACCCCTTCTAGGGTCATCATAGTTAGAAGCAACTTGTCAGAATTTAAGAGCACCAGAGGCTTTAATGTTTTCCAGAGCTTTTGTCTACAGAGCTTAAAAAGAAGAAATAGTACTAGAGTAAGCCATTCAGATACTTTTTTCCAGTGGGTAACATTTAACTTAAAGATGCACACAAGTAAATGACTGGGAAACAGATCTCACTTGTGCGACCTATCCACCTTGGGAAGAACAGATTGCAGAGCCCCCAACAGTGCATATGTGTCAACAGGGGTAGCACTTTGCCCTCTTGATGTTTTAGTTTATAATCCCCAGCATGATTAATGGCAAAAGATGGCGTGGGTTTTAGTCTAAAACATTTGGCCTCTCATCATGGATCCAAGGTCATGTTCCCATTAAAAGAGTTAGGTAGGCGAGACGAAAGAAAGAAAGAAAGAAAGAAAGAAAGAAAGAAAGAAAGAAAGAAAGAAAGAAAGAAAGAAAGAAAGAAAGAAAGAAAGAAAGAAAGAAAGAAAGAAAGAAAGAAAGAAAGAAAGGGAGGCGCATGAACTTGTGGCTTGCTTGATATGAATCTGTCTGTTAGTATACCAGTAGAATTAGTAAAAGTATATCTGGAAAGTCACTTTTTCCATTGAGCAACAAATATGTTCAGCTGCTTGAGAAGTAATTTTAGTGGGAGGTGGACCAGATTGTGCTCTCTTACTGACATCCCTAGTGTGAAGAATTCTGAGATATATGTAGCAATCACCACCCACTCAGGATGAGGGAGCATCATTAATTATTCACATAAATAACCTATACTGTCATGCACATTAACAACTCTGAAGCGCAATAAGTACACAAACTATCACATGCCCATACACTTCAATGTAAGACAAGCAGAATGTACTGGGGCCATGAGGTGGTGTTAATGATTTGCCATATATTCCTTATAATCTCTGCATAGATTGATGTATAACTCAAGACCACATCAAAACAAAGAGCTATACACAGAGAATTTATCATTATGTATCTTCTTTCAGCCAAGAGCACAGCAAGTAATATGACTCTGCTTCACACAGCTGGACTGCTAAAGAGTGTTTTCATTTCACTGCTCCTGGTTCTTCTTTTTTTTTAGTTTTTATTTATCTAAAACATAAACATAAAATACGCAAATCAAAATACAATATAACTGTGTTCCCCACCACCGTAGATGGGACCTCTTGCTATAATCTTATTCCTCCATTTATATTCTTCCTCTTCTTTTATTGTTCTCTTCTCCAGAACTGCATTGATTCTTGATTTGGAGCTTTCCCCTTTCCTCTTGTTAATACATATTCCAAGAATCTGCCCCATATTTCATAAAAAACTATTCTTTTTCAACTCTCCTTTCTTAACCTTTAAATTACAAGTTAATTTATCATTTAGAGCTATATTCCATATTTCACTATACCGTTCATCCATTTGAAATTCAGACTTTGATTTCCATTGCCTAGCTGTTATTAATCTCACTGCTGTTAATAAATTAGTTATCAGTTCTTTAACCATCTTATCATATTCCACATTCCCAAATATTGATAACAAAGCGATCTCAGGATTCAATTCTATGTCTTTTCCACATATCTCATTTAATTCTTTAAAAATATGTTTCCAAAATCTTTGTACTTTTTCACATTCCCACCACATATGAAAGTATGTACCAAGATCCTGGTTCTTCTGATAATAATAACTGTGTGCTGTCAAGTCAATTCTGACTTATGGTGACCCTTTACCATTCCCTTATTTTTTTTTTGGGGGGGGGAAGATACACCCTGGGACTGTCCAGCTTGCTGAAGGCCAGACAGATTGGAGGTACAAGTGGGGATTTGAACTCCCAACCTCTGCCAATCCAGCCAGATTCTTCTAAGGGTGGGCAAAAAGCTTGGATGAAACAATTACAATCCCATTGTGCTAAGTGAGGACATACCATTCATGTTTTTTTGTGGGGGAAGGGGAGTTAGACTCCAAATCATAGAATTTTCTAAGAATCACCAAGGCCATATCACAGGAATGTCCATAAACACACATCTGCAGACAACTTTTACTCACCTAGGGAAAGGCCGAGGCCTCTTCTAGGCCTTATTTCCTGCCTGGGCGCTGCAGTGCTTCGGGAGGGGAAGTTGTGCCTTCAGGAGGTGTCCCCCTGTAGAGAACAAAGTGCAAGGAGGCTATCATCCCCCCAGAAAGCATTGCAGCAGCTTCCTCTCAGGAAGCCCTGAGGCAAGAAATAAGGCCTAGCAGAGGCCTAGGCTTTTCTTTAGGTGAGTGAAATAAAGGTAAATATGCAGGTGTCTGTTTGTTTGCTAGAACTCTCAGGAATTCTTCCTTAGTAATACTGGGAGAATTTTGTAGATGAGAACAATAGTAATAAAAAAATGGGCATATCTCTACTTCAAGCTCTCAGGGGTCATCTCTGTCAAGTGACCTGTTGCACATTTTTTTGCAGAATCAATGAGGCAACCTCTTGTGTGATGAACACCTTGCCAGAGAGTGCATTTCTTGCATGATTGCTGTGTCACACACACATCTCTCTCACACACATACAGGATGGCACCACACTTTTAATAGATACTATCGAAAATCTCACCTTTACTCTCTTGAAGGATGTTTTTTGTTCTGTTGCTTTCAATAGATGCATGTTGCAGATACACAGTTTTGGGATCAAGTGTTCCCAGATGAGACAAGTCTAGAATTTAGAATTACAGCACATGTATTACATATGCAGTGGCAAGATTGCTTGAATTACTCAAGACAGCTTTCTCCTGTGCGCTGTTATGAATGGGTGAGAATTTTTCTTGGCTCTATTTGAATAAGAAAAGCACAGAACCTAGCGACTTATTGTTAAAGACAGCAGCAGCAACAAATTTCTGAGCCTTCTCGTCTTTAAAGGCTCATGCAAAAAAAGCATTAAGCCACCTTGTTTAGAGCAAATTGTGTTGCTGCGTTGTGTCATTATTTGCACACTTTTATTTAAGTTTCACACCCATAATGCAAGCATTCTCATTCTTCTCTTGTCAAGAATGCCACCATATACTTCACTCTCTTGCAGAACAAAGAGAATATTTTTGCACTTCTTTATCTTCATGTGAAAAGATATGTCAAACAAGGATTCGCATCCCTGCACTAGAGGGGATGTTCCTTTTTTATGCACATCAACGTAGTAGAGCACGGGGCACAGATGTTCTGGACCTCCAAATGTTATGGACTAAGCTCGCCATGGTCTCTTTCAACCCATCATGTTTGTTAGGCTTCTGGGTGCTTTATGCCAAAACATCTGGTGAGTCCAGAGTTCCCCATCTATGAGGCAGGGGCTATCAGGATAGCAGTACGCTAACTTCACAAGAAATATCTCTGTCTTATTGTTACTGTAGTTTAATTTCCTCCTTGAACCCCTAGCAAATCATAGATACGATGCAAATCTGGTGGGGCAGCAAGGGTGGGAGGGAAGTGCTTATGTACGTGGGTGAAAGCTGTTTTATGGTTTATAATTATCCTGTACCAGCCTTCCAAATAATTATAACTCTTGCATATTAATAATTGATCTGGAACAGCCGCCCTGCACCGCAGAGCAGACAACGGAAGGAAGGAGTTCAAGCTGGGTTTGTAAAATGTTGCGCGGTCTAAACAGAACAACTGGTAAAATGGGAAGCCAGGCGCACACATTTGCATATATTCACCCCCTTCTCCTCCCCAAAGTCAGTGAGCTATTAGAACAATTAACTGGTGTGTCCATTAAAGGCGAGGCAGCAATTATTTTGTTTCTAATTTAGAATAAAAATAAAAACCCACTTGTGCAGTCGAGTGGCTTATTTGTCCTGCTTAAAGGAATCTAATAGGGTGACTGTTGTCAACAGAGAGAAAGCTTCCCTGCTTCCATTTGTTTTCCTACTAATTTGGTATCCCTCTCTCTCTCTCTCTCTCTGTTTCCCCTCCTTCCCAATTTTATAATGAAAACTTGAAAGAAAGAGAGAGGGAGGGAGCCTCATAACTGCAGAGTTTGTCATAAGCCTGAGGAAGGCACAATCAAGGCATTTAAATCCTGCAAAGGCAAAACAAAGGTGGAGAAGAAAACTGCTATTGAGAAAACAGTTTTGGAGACTGAATGATTTGTCAATGCAAGTTTGCTCTTAGCTTCAAATGCTTATTAGCTTCTTCAGCAAGAAACTCTGAAGGTTATGCATGTTGTAGTTGGGGCAAAAATCATTGGCAAAGCTTAAGCCTCCACTTATTTAAGGAAACTGCAAAGAACTGCTCTCAGATGGACAACTTTGGAAAGTTACTTTATTGGACTAAAACATCTAGAATTCCTCATCCAACATGAGTAGCTGCCATGCTAGTTGGGGAGTTCTGGGAGTTGAAGTCCAAAAGCAGTTTTTTATTTTCTTCTCCTGCCTATAGTTAGGTTTTCCTTGTTAAAGCCCACCAGACCCACTTCCAAGGATGGAATCAGAGAACCTGTGGAACTCCTTGCCACAGGATGTGGTGATGGCATCTGGCCTAGATGCCTTTAAAAGGGCATTGGACAGATTTCTGGAGGGAAAATCCATTGCAGGTTATTTATTTACCTTTGGGTAGTGTGGGTGGCATATAAATTAAATAAATAAATAACTAAATTATTTATTTATTTGTTTGTTTGTTTGTTTGTTTATTTTATACCCTGCCTATCTGGTCATTGCAACCACTCTAGGCGGGGTTACAGGTTACAAGCCATGATGGGGGATGTCTAATCTCCAGGCTTTAAAGGGAGGGGACCTCAAGATGCCAGATGCAGGGGAGGGCGATCAGGAGACAGGTATATCTAGTGGTCTCTTGTGCTCCCAGAGGCATCTGGTGGGGCCACTGTGAGATACAGCGAGCTGGACTAGATGGGCCCATGGCTTTCTCCAGCACAGCTCTTCTTATGTTCCTTATGATCCTCGTGTAACCATTTCTTCCTCAACAGCACTGACTTCACATTAGCCAATTCACAGATTCATGGAATCATAGAATAATTGAGTTGGGAGGGATCCGTAAGGCCATCAAGTCCAACCCCCTGCTTAATTCAGGAATCTAAATCAAAGTAGATCTGGCAGATGGTCATCCAATTTTCCCTTCAATGCCTCTAGCACTGGAGCGCTCACCACCTCCCCAAGGTAATTGGCTTCATTGCTGTGCTACTCTAACAGTTAAGAAGTTTTCCCTGATATTCAGCCTAAATCTCGCTTCATGTATCGTGATCCAAGGGAACTAGGTTATCCTGAGAATCTTCCAGCTTTTAATTTTCTATTCGCTCTCCACACACACGTGTGTGATTGTCAACTAAAGCAAACAGTAGTTTCAAAGGCAGGGAATTCTCACCTATCCCTAAATTAGGTTTTCTCTAGAGTGGGGATCTGAGTGCCAACCCAACTTTTTCTTTTTCCCCTGCTGCTGTCACTGGAAATGAAGGTGCCGCCTGCTCTGCCACTTGTCAGCTGTAAGTTGGGAGAGCTTATGTTATTCTCAGCGCTGTCACTTTCATCTTGCCAGTGAGATGAAATTGCAAATCATTAGGAGAGGCAGCTCCTGTATCAGCTGAGTGGAGCCTTTTGTTCTTCATCCACCAAAGGGAATTCTAATGGAAACCCGGGCAGGGAGGAGGGAGGCTACCACAGTGAGCACCCATGAATTTGTTTAAAACTAGTCTTTGTTTAAAACATGTCTTTATGAGCAGGTTGTTCCATCGGGGAATCTCTTGCTGCTTCTTCGCATCCACGTTGCTCAAGTGAGTCAACAATGCAAGTTAAACCTGAATGAAAAACAAATAACATTTTCTATTGTCTGCTGTCGGGTGGCGACGAACTCCTGCCAGTCTAGCTGTAAGAGAAGGGACCCTCTTGAACTGGCAAAGGCTACATCTAGATGCATCCTGGTGAAACCTGTTAGGCATACCTGAATAATTATAATGTCTGAGCAGGTAAAATATTCAAGTGAAGCTGTGCAGAATTTTGGCATCATAACCTCCAGCCCTCTCCATGTGCTCTCTCCAGGCTACACCCCTCGCTTTGTGCTATTCATATTATTTATTCCTTTCTGCTCTGCCTCGCAGTTGCCAGGTTGATGGAGAGAACCTTGCACAAGATGGGAGAGGGACATGCCTGCAATTTAAGGGCGCTTCGCCCCCTTCTAAACAGGGCCAGTCTTTTTATTAGTAGGGCTGCCAGGTCTCAGAATAGTAGATGAAGTCTTAGGGAGTCACTATGTGTCATTGTAGCAACCAACATGAATTTGACACAACTCCGGGAGGCAGTGGAAGATAGGAAGGCCTGGCATGCTCTGGTCCATGGGGTCACGAAGAGTCAGACACAACTAAACAACTAAACGACAACGATGTGTCTCCAGGCAGGAAGTCAAATCTTGGTCAGATGAAGGGTTGGGGAAGGCGAAAGTTTCATTCTGCTATGGGGTGGCTTCAAAGCCAAGGCACCCATCCTTGTTATTGCTAGCTGAAGCCAGCCTAACATATCTCAGGGCAAATATGTCTGTTTATTGTGTTTGCTTTGCCCTCTTCCCTTGTCTGCTTCACCTCTGTGACATAACAAGGACCCACTTTTTGGCTATCACAAGCCCTCTCCTCTTGGTACCCCAAAGGCCCACCTTCTGCTCTGAAGTTTGGGCCCTAAAATCTGAGTGAATAGCATATTCTTGACTTAACAACCCTAACACTGGAGAGAAAGAGAGACGTTTTTGCCATGAAAGCAGGACTGGTTTGGAGAATTAGTCAAAATATTAGGGGTTAAATTAAAGACTCATGATTTCCATGGTAGAGTCCATTTGTCAGGGAAAATATGGGGAATGCAACCTCTTGGTTCTGCTTGACCTTACTTGATAATATCTCCTATGGTATCTGCCTTATTGAATTAGCCATGTGAGTTCGGTGTACAGAGCAGTGGCTCCATTCTTATTTTTGGAAAGAACTGTTTTGAGAAGGAAACACTGGGGGAGGGGGTTCTCTTATATTCCATGGCACATATATTATGGGATTCCACGGGGCTCTATCAGACCCCATAGCTCTTTAATTTCTGTGTGATGCTTTGGGATGAAGTTTAGGAAGATCAGATTCCCCAAAGATCCCTAATAGTGAAGAGTATAATATTAGCTTAGAAGGCACCTATCACGCCTACTTTACTTATTTAGAGTCTGGGGCTTTGAAATCCAGTGACTGAAGATAATGTGTTCTGGTGAAAACCTATACATAAACGCAAAGTAGTAAAGGAGTCAAATGTTTTGCATTCATGTTTGCTTTTGGTAATAAACCTGAATCGCCCCAGATTGCATAGTAAAATGGCCGATTAAGCAAAAGGTTAGCCTTTTCATGTATGGATACTTTTCTCCTTTTGTTACGCTTATGTTTTCTCTCGAAAATAGTCTAATAAGGTACCAGGGTTGCCTTAATAGCACACATTCAGGTATAATTGTCCTTTTTGTTAAGGGCCATGGCCCCCTTCATATCCACAGCCATGGCTCTGGCTACTGTGATAAACTGTTTCCCAGAGGGTAATATTTTATGAGCAATGCAGGTCACTCCATTGACTCAGCCTCTACTGGACCAGAACCAGCTATTGCAGACCTGTTTATATCATTAAGCCAACTTAAAATGGTGCAATAAATCCTCCCGCAATCTGTCTTAGCCTCTCACAGGAACTCAGGCTGAAATTATCATCAAGAGTTCAGTTATTCTTTGCTATTGTTTGCCTTGAAGACCTTCATCTTGAGCTCAAAATGACAGCCATTGATTAGCACATGTTGAAATGACTGTATATTTTGTGCACATGGCCACATACATTTCCTGCACTGTGGGTTATATTCCAGCACACCAAATCACTATCTTGGTCTGAAAACTTAAGCAAGTTTGATCTTTGCATTAGGCAACATGGGGCAAGAATCTTAGATGTAAGACAATCACAGAGGTTAGCAATGGCAGTCTCCCAGCTGTCCCTTCTGAGTCTCTTCTTCATCTCCTAGATTAGTCTTCTAATCTAGGAGATGAAGTGTGAGTTGTGATGGAGGATCCTGTCCTGTTGCCAATGTTTAAGTAATCCAGACTTTTAACAGATAAGTGCTTGAAGTCCTGGAGCTACCAGGATGAATCTTTCTATCGGAGTTTCTTCCACATTCTGTTGGGTGTGTTTTTTTAAGATGTAAAAATCTCAATTTCTTTGCATTCCAGATATAAAGTAATTTGCAAAGGTTGGTGAGCTCATATTTAAAAGGAACCAAAAATGCAATCATCTTCCATCTCTACTCTTAGCTTTCACTGGCAAGCTCCCAACAATTCAGCTGTCATAGCAGAGTTATCTCATACCATTGATCTTTACAGTGGTCTGACTTTAGAACCCAGCTACAAACTCATGTCAAAGGGGCTGTGTTTCTGGAAAAGGATCACAGTTCAGAACCCTCTTATGAAGTGCTCAATGAACAGAAATTTTGGACAGGCCATACATTTTGAAGCGGTGCAATTTATCATCAGCAGAAGATGGTTATTGCCTTCACATCCTGCTGGTGGGCTTTCCAAAGGCACTTGAGACTAGATTAATGCTTCCCAGCCTTGGTTCCTCAGATGTTCTCAGACTACAATTCCCAGGATCCTGGCCAGCACAGCTAGTGGTGAAGGCTTCTGGGAGTTTATTCCTTCCTGTATTATTACAGTTCTAACGCCTGGGGTTGACCTGGTGAATAAAAGCCTTTCCCAACCTGATACTGTTCTGCTATTCTGGGGTATCCTGCACAGTCAACAGGACCACTGGAATTGTGGGAGCTGTAGTTTAAAGCATTTGGTTAAGGAAGGCTGATAAATAGTTGCTACTACGAGGCTCAAAGGAAGCACCTTTTTGAGAGATGGTTTATTTATTTGTTTGTTTGTTTGTTTGTTTGTTTGTTTGTTTGTTTGTTTGTTCGTTCGTTCGTTCGTTCGTTCGTTCGTTCATTCATTCATTCATTCATTTATTATCCCGCCTATCTGGTCTGAGAGATTGTCTGCTGCCTTTCTCCTATGGATCCAAGGTGGCTTAAGAAAAAAAAAGTGAAAAACTGAATAATAAATTGTTACAATATTAAAAGAGCATTAAACAGATATCACATTAACACTCATAAATAAGAGCAAATTAAAAACACAAGTAGAACAAGAGAACAAAACAACTCCTTTAAAAAAACTCCCCTTGGTCAACCAGTATTAACTATTGGTGAGCATTTTGCTCCAATAGAAGCTGAGGTAATAAAGCATTAGTAATGTGGCTTCCTTACGTAGGCTTGATACGTCCTCTCTGGGACCACTGTGTGGAGTCATGGTTCAACACCACAGCTTATCAAGGGAAGATGTTGCTAGGACCAGAGCACTAACAATACAAATGGAAGGGACACAGGAGTTGTCTATTCTAAGGATAGGTTGAGATGGGTAAATTTCTGTAGTCAAGAGAAACCTCAAGGGGAGAAATTGTCAGAGTGTTACAGGTGTTTTATATATATATATATTGGTTCTTCATCCCATAAGGACAGATGACAAGCGAAACTATAGTCCCCCCCCCACCAAATTTGTTCCTGTCAGCTTATTGAGTTTCAAGATGGGTGATCATTAAATTGTATTTTTCTGTGGTGTTTTTTTTTTTTTAAGTCTGGCTGAGTTTTGCTTTCAAAATTGCAAAGGGCATCTATATTATTAGAAGCTGTTGAAGAAATAACCTGTCTCGGCCTCACAACATTGCCATCCCATCTGGCGGTTTTCACCATCGGATTCAGGCCTTGAATCTGCCTACCTCAGTGTTGTCATCAGTTTTCCACAGCTTCATATAAAAGCCTTTATTAGACCTTTCTGGCAGTCCCAAGGACTGGCCTAATCTCTGCTGAGATACAAAGAATACAGGCAGCCATTTTGTCCCCTTTCCCCTCTCGGCTGTCTCCCTTCTAGAAATCTGAATGCTCAGAAAGTGACATTTCTTGTATGCTGAGCAGACTAGTGAAAGATGCCTGGTTTTCTCTTCTATACTGTTAAAACAAATCTCTAATTAAATGTCACCAAGAGTGAAGATTAATGGTTTAGAGGTACCTATTGGTTGAATACAAAACCTGAAATCTTTTGTTACCAGAGAATCGTAACAAAGAAATTGACATATTTTATGTCTGTGACAATCCCTGTCAAATAACCTTCCTGATTCTGAGCCACAAATTGACTTTGCAGCTATGGATCTTCCTTGCTTTTCCTTTCGTGTTAGTTTCGCCCTTGCTTCACTGCAGTAAAAGCAGTCCCCACCTCCCCGGATGGGCTACATAAGTTTGTATCATTAGACAAACATGAAGGAGGCAATGGAGGCCACATTGAGTAGCCCCACCATCTCCTGGTGTCTGCACGTACCATGTGAATACAAGGAAAGAGCCTTCATAGCTTAACGGAACAGGGCCTTCACACACACAGCTGTATACTGTACAGTGATGCCTCACAAGACGAATGTCTCACGCAACGAAAAACTCACAAGACAAAAGCGTCTTGCGATTTTTTTTGGTGACTTGCAAGATGAATTTTTCTATAGCCATGCTTCACAAGACAATTTTTTTCCTTTTTGGGGTTTGTTTTAAATTGCACATCTGTTAGTACTGTGCTTCGCAAGACAAAATTTTTGCAATAGGACACGACTCGCAGAACGAATTAATTTCGTCTTGGGAGACATCACTGTATATCAGAGGTGGGCAATTAATTTCTATAGGGGGACCACATGAAAAATCTGAACTGTGTTCGGGGGCCGAACCAACTTTACTTAAAAATAAAATGAAACAGTGATGTTATGTTTGTTTTTATTTTAAACATATTAATCTTCACAAATACTAAAGAGGTTTTTTTGAGGTATGTTAAAGATAAGCATGTCTGGACGTGGTGGCGCTGCAGGCTAAACTGCAGAAGCCTGTGCTGCAGGGTCAGAAGACCAGCAGTCGTAAGACTGAATCCACGCAATGGAGTGAGCTCCCATCGCTTTGTCCCAGCTCCTCACCAACCTAGCAGTTTGAAAGCATGCAACTGCAAGTAGATAAATAGGTACCACCTCAGTTGGAAGGTAAAACGACGTTCCCTCGTCACGCTGGTCACGTGGCAACAGAAACTGTCTTCAGACAAGCACTGGCTCTATGTCTTGAAAATGGGATGAGCACCGCCCCCTAGAGTCGGACACGACTGAACTAAAAATGTCAAGGGGAACCTTTACCTTTACCTAAAGATAAGCAACTGATCAACTTTAGACAAAAAGCTATAAATGGTTTTGATATTCAAAACTGTCCGCTGGCTGGACAGGAGTGGCTCATGGGCCATATGTGGCCCTCGGGCCACACTTTGCCCAGGTCTGCTGTATATGAATGCTAGGGGGAAGGGCTGGTTGACACATGGGTAGTCAAAGGGTAAAGTTATTTGGTGTGGCTCTGTTTCTCCTCCCATGTATCCAACACATGCAGAAAACTGAGTAGGGCTGGCATACCCAATGTGGAATAGAATGATGCACATTCAATATGGAATATAAGTACTTCTGTTTAGGGAAGCATCAGTGCTCTGTGCTTTCTCCTAGCAGCCACTATCTTTTCCCCCAGCAGCCATCTCGCATCCAGCTCTCCCCAGAATTCTTCCGGAGGTGTAATAAAACCAGATTGAGTACAATGTAGGCTTATAGCTTGTCAACTGTTCCCATTTGGGCAGAAAGAATTTGCCTCCAGTGAGTGACAATGCTTTCAGCCCATAGCCTTTAGGCATTGGAGCTGATTGCTAGTCATCTCTCTGATGAATAACGTACCATCATGAATATGTCTATGCATACATCTTCAATTCCTATAGGGTAAATTTAATGTTATCTTAAGGCTTCCTGCTCCTGAGATGAAGAGATTATTTCAAACCTGCAGCCCACAAGCATAGCCATTGGTTTGAAACACCATTAGGTTTCATTATAACCAATAAACATTGCAATGACATTTATAAGTTACCAGAGAGCACAACAACACAAATATGAAGCAGATAAACGGCATTTGATCCAAATAATTACTGCAGGCAATATTGGGCTTAGTTGGAGCTGGCAGCTGGATGCCAAATAATTTATAGAGTTGCATAAGGCACTGTGCCGCAAACAGCTTTTTAAAAATTATTATGATTACTGAAACCCTTCTTTTTGTCTCAGATACCTAAAAAGGTTAGGGGTAGCACCTTTTCCAAGTTGGAACCAATAACAGCCTCAGCAGAAACAGCAACAGAGATTGTTGTTGGTAAATAGAAGGGTCAAAATGGAAATCACTGCCCCAGCAAATTTGATTTCCCCCCAACACACGTCCATTCTGCATGTGGTTTTAAATACAGAAACCAGGCAGAGAATAACTGCATTAGTAGAGAAGATTATATTTGCAACATTCAACAATTAATGAAGACAGACATCTGGGCTGTAGTTCTGTTTTTCATTTCCCTCCAGTGTTCAACAAATAATTTTGGAATGATTTCTCCTGTCTTTCATAAACAAATCCTCTACAATACACTCAGCGTCTAAGCCATAAGTTCAGCAAATTTTCATATCAGATGTACGATCTTGTGAGACTCAATGCATGAATGTACCGTCAGTGCTACGTGAAGAAAATGTGATGTTCCTTATGTAGCACTATTTCTTAGGAAACAACCATACCACTAATAGGAACCTCATCTGTTGATTCCATGCCTTCATATCAAGTTTGCAAGCACTCAGAGCACCTCACATTGTGGCATTCTTCATATCAAGTTTGCAAGCACTCAGAGCCATCGTGATGCACCTCACATTGTGGCATCTGGATGTCATTGGCTCCAGAAGCTTGCAAGCCAAGTATGAGAAGAGCTTTGGCACAAGGCAAGGGAAAAAGTTCTCCCTGCATCTATACTGAGAGAAGCATCAGAATATCGTAAAAATGGTGGTTGCTTTCTGATGTTTCCTTATGAAATCCCCAGTAGTTTCCATCTGCTGAAGAGAGGAACTTTGTTGGCCATGCAGCCCCTAAACTGGCTGCTGCCTCAGGTCTAGCTCAGTGGTTTAGGCATTCAATTGTGGAGCCAGAGTTTGGGAGTTCGATTCCCCACTGTGCCTCCTTGACAGGGGCTGGACATGATGATCCATAGGGTCCCTAGTTTTTTTGATGTTGAGTTTCAGACCGTTTTTTGCACTCTAGTGAAGAGTGCAAAAACTAGTGAAGATTATCTCATCACTCGTGTTCCCTGAGGCTCGGACATTTTTTATTTATTTCCCTGAAAGTGCCCCTCGGCCCTGTCAGAAGTGGGTGGGTGGGTGGCTGGGTGGAAGTCTTCTGAGTGATAATCACAGAAGCATACAATCATGGACTTGGTGGGAGGCATTAGAGGACATTTAGACCCATCTTCCGTCTCTTATAGGAAATTCAAAGGCATGGAATCTGCAACAAGTGTTTGTCTAGTTTTTGTTTAAAGAAATTGGAGAACTTAGTTGTGTTCTATGCAATTTCTTGTAATGTTCTGCTGGAATCTTCCCTCCTGTATCTTCTCTACATTAAGTCCAGTCCTGTTCAATGGATTTACAAATTAACACATTCTTGTCCTCTTCTATGGTAGCAGTTTTTCAAATATTTCAAGAGTGCTGTAAGAAGATTCCAAAATCTGGACATCTGCACATCTCCGAAGGGTCGCATAGATTTTATTGCACTTTGAGTGTTTCTATGATGCTGAATGATACCTACCTGTAAATGCAGTTCAGGATATTTTCTTTCCAACCAGCAATGTTCTTTTCACCTAATGAGAGGCATAAATCAGGTTGACTTCTTTCCTTACCATGCTACCACCTTACATAAAACAACAGTAACAGGTAGTTAATACCATTTATTTTTTGCAAGTCACCTTAAAAAGCTATGAGCATAGGATTTTTATTGCATCCATAAAATAAATAGCCAATGCTGCCATTCAGGGGACCTTTTCTATCACTAGCCATGTTGGTAGAGGCTGCCAGGAGTTGTAGTCCATAAAAGTAACTTTTTTTTCAAGCTTGGATTGCAGTGTAAGCATGTGCTAAGCATGGGTTTTTATTAATAGCAGAAATGTTCTCAGACACACCTCTTATGCTTGTCTTTCTGCTGGATTGATGACTCTGAGTTTCAAAAAGTTATCTTACAGCAAAAGCAAGCCAGAAAGAACATCATAGCCGTAGTGTTCCTTGCTACCTTTTTGTTCAAAACTATAACAGTTATGTAGGATGGCTCCGTTTCCTTCTTGTTCTCTTGGCGCAAATAAATGTTTGTCCAATCTTGAGTGCTTGCATAGCTCCTGGGAAGTTAGAAAGGGGATGAAGGAGGTGTGGCACAGAAGATGCTGCTTATTGTTCATTTCTATACTTGCGGGGATTTGAAAAGCATTCACTATATAAAGCAGCAAGGTCCCCCACTTGTTTCAGCTATAATTTCTGGAGTCACTCCCTTGTTCTGTGCCTGAGGCATGGATTACAGCAACAGTGGCACCAGCTGGGGAAGGGAAGTGATAAGTCTCTTGTGGACAGGGTTTAACAAATAGTTATGACATTAATTCGCTAATTAATCCTCATCACTCTACAATACTGAATTTTTCTGTAGGATCTTCTGTACTTCTGCAGTGAGAAGACAGCAGACGGCTCAGCTTGTTGCTGCCATGGAAAACTTTAAAGCCTGGTATATATTGTTAGACTTGAATCTTTGGGATTTAGTTGGTGTTATTGGGTCAAGTTTAAGAAATTGTATAGAAACACAAAAACTACATATTATTCAATAAGAAACAAAGCACAGGACTTTTAAAAGTTAGTAGGACCCTCATAATCTGACTGATGCTCAAACTGCAGCTTAACCTAACTCATGTACAAGTACAGTACTTCTACAGTCTGTCTTTCCACATGTTTGCACCTGGTGTAAAT